TTTTTTTTTTTTTTTTTTATTTTCGTTTTTTAAGATTTTTGCTGCATTTCCTGCCCCCCCTCCCACTGGTAGCCAAGAAAGTTTCCTTCCATATATAAATCTTTCCTTGACTTTCTACAATGATGAACTAATACAATATTTGATCTTCTGTGATTGACTTATTTCACTCAGCATAATGTCCTCCAGAAAGAAAGATATTTTAGAAAAATAGTGAGTCTACTCAGGAAAATGTTTATCATAGTCAGATCCCATCCTATTGTGTGTCCAAATTAAACATTTTGAGCCAATAAACTGTTTTTAGTGGAATTGTAGGTGTAGGTCAGGACACAGAGGTCAGTAAATGATGTGTGTTCCCCTTTAAGGAACTCAGTCTGGTTGGGAAGAAACATGTAAATTAGTTAACCGTAATATGTGAAGTGCTACTAACAGGAAAAAAGTCTGGGAGAACAGGTGAATGGGTAGATAATTCTGATTTTGAAAAAGGTCTGGAGAAGTCAGAGAAGCTCAGTCAGTTAATTTAGGGGAGAGGGCATTTCAGATATTAAAAGAGCTAAATTGTGAGTTGTGAACTGGGTTGATACTTTGGAGAAATTCTAAGTAGTCCAGCATAAATGTTCTTCTGTTATGAAGCAATATACAATTTATAGAACGTTTAGAAACTACCATACGGTTGAAAGAAGAAACAAAAATCGGGCATTGTTTTCCCAATCAGAAACTACCGCTATTAATGTATTAGTATGCTTCCCACCAGTTGTGGTTTTTTTCTTTCTCTTATTTCTTCTTGGCTTTTGTTTGTTTTAAACTATAGTTATTAGAAAATATGTGTGTTTGTACACACATTTTTTTTTAATTATGATTTGGGTGAAGATTTACAGAGCAAATTCACTTTCTATACAGCAGTTCATATATACTTTGTCTCATGTCATTGACCACAGTTTACCACAATGCAACAGCTCCCCTCCCACTTTTGCATTGTGGTAAACTGTGGTCAGTGACATGAGACAAAGTATATGTGAACTGCTATATGGAAAGTGAATTTGCTCTGTAAATCTTCACCCAAATCACAATTTAAAAAAAAAAAATGAGTTTCTCATCAATCATTGTTATTCCATTAGCTCTATTAGGAAAAGTGGATAAGGCTCCTAATCAAATCACGGTGTGTTAAACTCTTTTAACTTGCTCTAAAATTAGCTAGCAGGACCAGAAAGTTAGGTGAGGACAGAAGTGGATAAACTGTCATGTTCTCAGTGTAGTTTTAAACTGAGCCTGACTGAGGTGCTGAGAAGAAAGTGATTACAGCCCAGATCAGGAATTAATTTTACTTTGGTATGAAATATTTGATGCTGATAAGGGTGCTCTGGATGATGACTTAAATAAATTTGTACTATTAATAAAAAGTAGGAAATTTTTTGGACTTTGTTGCCTCCACAGAAAAAGTATAGCTGCCAAAGCTCTCCATATTGTGCTCAATTGATAAACACAAATAAATGCTCATTAATTGAACATTGTTAATAGCTAAACAAACTTAAAGTAGATTTCTAAGCCTAATATGTCCTAAAAAGTGACTCAGAACTTGAATATGGTAATTAAAATGGCAACTGTATGTTTACGTGCTATACAGAAGTGATAAGTGGGACCTACAGAACTGCTGTTTTTCTTAGATGATGTCTCACGCCGAAGGACAACAGAGAGACTTAATTAGACGAATTGAATGCCTTCCTGCTTCTGGCCATCTTAGTTCCTTGGACCAGGATCTCTTAATGCTCAAAGCAACTTCCATGGCAACTATGAACTGCTTGAATGACTGTTTTCATATTCTTCAGTTACAGCATGCATCACATCAGAAGGGCTCATTGCCTTCAGGTAAGCGATGGATAACATGGAGGGCCAAAATGTAAAAAAGACTATTCATTGTAATTCTAACACCAGAAAATCTTCATTAAAGAAATTAATAAAAGCCCAACGAGCTTTTTGGTTTTAAGTTTCACACTAATTTTATACAAATTCTTCCTGTTGTGTTCTTTGGATCTAAAGTGATTCTAAGTCTAATGTTTAATGTCATCAAATATCCCTTTAGAGACCTCAAACTCAGCATGTCAAAAATTAACCTCACAACCTATAT